TCTTCATGCTTACTTGTGATTTTGCTCTTCGCTGCTAGCCCAATCAGCCAGAGGTCCGTCCCCTCCGTGGGTCTCAGAGAGCCAGTCTGCTGCTCTGTGTTTCTGTCACTGTGGCTGTGCTTTCCCCGTGCGTGTGCTTTGTTCTCAACTTCACTCGTCTCTGCCTTCTAGATCATTTTGGCTTATTTTTCCTTTTTCAGCTTCTCGGGTTAAGTGCTTAATTCATTGAGTTTCAGCCTTTCTTATTTTATCATAAAGGCATTTAAAGTTTGTATCTGTCTCTTTATGCAGCTTTGGTGGATGACCTTCCACGGATTTTCAAAAGTAGCATTCTCTGTGCTGGACATTTATTATACATACTCCACAGTTTCAGTCTTGCTGTCCCTTTAGACTCGAGTTATTTAGAAAAGCATTTTGAAGTTGTCACGGCATGGGCTACTTATTTATTTGTTTGTTTGTTTGTTTGTTTTTTGCTGCTTGTTAATTTCTAATTCCGTTGCCCTGAGAACAGAGACTGTGGTGTTAGAATTTGAGATCTTGTTATCCAGGACAAGGACATTTGAGGAAAAAAGGCCTTTTCTCTGTTTCTTGAGTATGTATGAAGTTAGGCTTATAACCGTCTTCAGATCCTCCTAGTTTTCATCGGAGGGTACTTTTGTACCGTGAAACTGTGAGTAACGTGCTCGGCCATCACTGCTGTTCTGCTTTATTCTCGTGGTTTTAAGAATGTATTGTACTGTGTGCTGTATGGGCCTCTTGTTCAGGGTGAAGGTAGAGGCCGACGATGTTTGTTTCTTCCTGGAGAAACAGACCGAGCAATATAAAATGCCCCATTTCATTCTACTTCACGTTTTTGCATTGTGGCTGATATTAACATTGGCCTTCCTGCGCTCTTTCTGTTACGGTGTTGCCTGTTGCAGCTTCTTGCCTTTCCTTTGCTTTTAACTTTTCTCTGTCAGTTTAAGTGTGTCGCTCCCAAACAGCCTATGGCTGGGTTTTTTAGAGCGATTTAATTTACTCACATTCTTGTATTTATTGCTGTGCTTGGTCTAACTTTATCTTATTTTATGTTATTTTTATGATACGTTTTTCATTCCTGTCTAGTTTTCCCTTTTCTAATTACGTGATTAATTGAGTTTTCTTTGTTTCTCCTCTCCCTCCACCACACACAGTGGTTTAAATGGTCTGTAATTTATTCTTCTTCCAGAAATAGTTGCCTTTAAATAAAAAATTAAAGCCCACACTTCTCTACTAGTGTCAAGAATTAAATGGTGTTTACTTTCCAACAAGAGACTTATTGTCAACAGTTGTTTAGATTTGACTGTACATTTTTTACTTTTATTGTTCATCACTGTTTCCTGTATATTCTGTCTTGCTCTTTCTTGAATTACTTATTCTGATACAGCTTTTATTTGGTTGGAGTAATTCCTTGAGTAATTTCGTTAAGTAAAGACAAGTGGGCGGCGTACTATTTTTGGTACTTCCCTCTTTGGCTTTGAGACTTGGGTGAGTAACAGATCTCAGGGTTTTAACTCTTTTTCCTCAGAGCACCGTAGTCTTTGCTCTGTTGCCCTCTAGCAGTGGATGACGTGGATGTCAAGTCCAATGTCAAGTTGATTCTCAAAGTTTTTATAGAAACTGTCGGAGAGAAAGCTGAGTTTTTTGCTCTCCATGGAGCCTTGATATGTCTGGAGGAATAGGGCAAGATGGGGATTTGCTGAGGATCGGAAGTCCCTGAAATGGGGCGCGTGAGGGAAGGGTGGAAATAGGCAACGGAAATTTTGAGGCAACACAAGGGATTCAGTCAACCTTAAGGCACAAACTATTGATTGAAAAGCTGATGGGTCTTCAGGAGGTGTCTGTAATACACAGTCAAGCCGTTTGCTGGCGCTAGAGTCCCCTGGAGGAAGAATGGCATGCTAATGAAGACAATGTAGGGGTGGGTGGTTGCCCTTCTCCCCTCCCCATCCCCGCTTTAGTCTCTTTGGAAACCTGAAGGATCCACTCATCGTCCTTGGACTCCAGGAATGCATCCAGCCCGGCCTACCCTGCCCTCGCTCCCACTGCCTCCGACGGAGCATCCAGGCGTTTGGCACAGGGGCCTTTCCCTGCCCTCGCTGGGCGAGGCTGGCTTCGCTCTGATTAGATTTTCTGTCACTCCCACTCGTCTGCTTTTCCTCAGACTTGCTGACCAGCTGGTGCTACTATGGGTCTGTTCTTATCCGTACATCTCTCCCTTTATTTCAGCAGTTTTTGGGGGAGAAGGGGTAAACAAATGGGCTCCGTTTGCCATGTGGAACCTCAGGTGTGTGTAACTTTCCATGGTGGCGGGTGACAGCATGTGCACCATCTCTCCCACCCGCCACTGGAACCAGGCGTGGCAGTCAGGTGATGCCATCCTCACGCAAGGGTGGGAGAGTGGCCACTCACTCCCTCCACCTCATCCCGTCTCCTCAAGCCACGTCCCTGGTTCTGACCATCACCTCACTCACTAAAACAACTCGGTGGCCTCACTCCATCATAAGGTCAAGGACAGGCTATCTCCTATAACAAGTTCTTTGCTCATGAGCTATCCCTGCCCCTCACCACCAGCACTGTGGACAGCATGCAATCTCTTGAACGTTTGGCCAGTTTGGGGTCTCCTGCCTGCTCACACTACTTCCTTTGTTCAGAACAGCCTCCTTCTCTTTCTGTCACACGTTCAGACACCATCCAGATTGACAACTCTCTTCTTCCTGCCGTCACCATGTGGTAGCTTAGAAACAGTGACAGTAGAAGGCATTCCTTTGAGCCCTTGCCTGAAATGTGATCCCCTTGAAGGTAGGGACTGAATCTGGTATCCCCAGCAGTTACCACCAGGCCTGAGCCAAAATAGGCGCTGACTGTACATCTGTTAAATGAATGAACAACCGAATCAGATTCAAAAGAAAATTGTTCCACACTGACTGTGTATGAGACGTCGTGCCAGATTCTGGGGGTGGGGGATGAGTCAGACTGACCCCGCCGAGGTGTGTGCCATCCACGAGGGTGTGCGACTCCTAGAGTCTGTGCACGCAGCACTGCGATCTGTCTCGGAAGACACAGCACAGCAGATGTGCCTTGGGTCCTCCGGGAAGGCGGGACTGAGTTTCCCCATTTGGGAAAGCTGCGTGAGTCTCGAGGGAGGCTAGGCAGGATTCAGCCTGGTAGACACGCATGAAGGCTCAAGGGTGGGAAATCGTGGGCTACGTTTAAGAAGAGCGTGCTCTGAGGAGACAGTGTTTCTGCACTGGGAGAGGTCGAGCACAGACGTTTCCAGTAAGAAATTGGGATCTCCTGGAGGGTGTGAGGTCAGGTCTGGGGATGGTGGAAAACCGTGGAGTGGTGAAGTGCTTGGACAACGGGGTCAGGAAACGATCGGGAGCCACAGAGCCAGTTCAACCACACTATGTGGCGGTGTGATGCTGTCCTGGCATGTGGGCGGGACATGGCTGGCTGGATTTGAGAGCAGCAAGTGTGGGGCAGGCAGCAGAGGGGTTCCCGGAACGTTCTGTAGGAATCAGCAGAAGGAAGTAGTTGCCAAAACACTGACCGTTCTCAGGCTGTGTCAGTAGAAAGTAGGGTGCCCAAGGGGAGGGAGGAGGCAGCGCCCCAGGCCTGCATGCGGGTTACTCCAAGAACAGATTACGGGGTCTGCTCTGGGATAGTGACAGTATCCACAACAATCACACTGGCCATTCCACGTGCCAGACGTTGGTCCAGACCCTTCAAAGGTACTGAATCATTAAAACCCCAGAGGTACTTGCCATTCTCGGCTCCTCTTTTTCAGACACAGCAAGGCTAAGAAACCTCCCAAAGACACAAGGTAATGAGTTAGATGGGCTGGGACTCGAACCCAGGTATCTTGGCCCCCGAAGGTGCATTCTCACCATCACACCACTCTGCCTGCAGCAGATAAACCAGAGTATGGTCCCAGGAGAGCAGGTGGATGTGACACCACACCATACTCCACCGAAACAACTCAGGCTTTCCAGATCATAAAGCACTTGCCTCGTATTTCCTTATTTGACCCTTTAACAGTCTGGCAGGTTGATTACTGAAAACAGGAGTTCACTCATTCGTCCATTCATCTGGCAGTCACCGTCTAGCTTCTGCCCTGAGCCAGGCCTCCGTCGGCCCTAAGCTCTGTTTTGTTTAGTGATTTGGGGGATGCAGTGTGCTCTCATGTCTTGTATTTAATTCTCGCTCATGCCTGCATGTGAGTCGCTTTGGCAGGTCGTATTGGTATTCTCTTGCTGTATAACAAATTACCTCAAACTTAGCGGCTTGAAACAGTACTCACATTGGCACACAGTTCTGAGTGGCTGGATTCTCTGCTAGGGCTGAAACGTAGGTGTTTCTAGGCTGAGTTCTTACCTGGTGGCTCTGGGGGAAATTCCCCTTTTCCAAGCTCATTTGGGTTGTTGATGGAATCTAGGTCCTGTGGCTGTAGGACTGAAGTTCTGTGGTTTTTTCCCTGGTTGTCAGCCGGTGGGGATCAGGTACTCCAGCTCCCAGAGGCTGCCCTCAGCCCCTCTGCACACCTTCAAGGCAGCGAGTGCATGTCAGAGTCTCCTCCTCGTTCTCATCTCTGTGACCTCCTCTTTCGTGACCAGCCAGAGGACACCCTGCTTTTGAAGGACTTTGTCAGTTAGGTCAAGCCCACAGTGTAATCTCCCTAATTTAAGGTCACCTGTGCCCTGTAATATAACCTAACCACGGGAGTAAAATCCATCACACTTACAGTCCTGGGGACAATGCAGGATGCACGCACCAGGGGGACAGGAAACCTTGAGGGCCATCTTAGAGTCTGCCCCCAGTACTGGTGAAGAAGCAGAGCCTCAGAGAGGTCAGGAGGAGCTGGGTACAAGGAGGCCACCGTCCTCCCTGGGCAACATGGGGATCTAGCCCTGCACCAAGACAAGCGGCCTACAGTTGACCAAGAACACTCCCTGACCATGTTTTTCAACTGTCCCCTGCAGGATCTGAGAACCAAATCCGCAGCTTTGACCTAGTCCATGGAGGAGCCTCAAGAGGTTCTGGCCAGGCAAGCGCCCCCTTCCGGAGGGAAGAGCCGAGCGTGAGAAGAGGGCGGCTGCAGCAGGAGTGGACATGAACGCTGGTTTTCAGAGAGAACGGCGTTTCAGTTTTGGTCATCGAAAGTGGTGCCTGCAGCACAGGTAAGAAATGGGCCGTCACTGCCTGTGCCTGCTGGGGGCGCCGCTCTGGTTTCTCTTGCTTAAGCTTGCTAGTGTTCTTCCTCTTCAGATGCATTGTCATTGTTGTTATTATTGCCTTCTTTGAGAAAGCCCTGTGAAAGCTGGACATTCCACAGACTTTCTTGGCCAGGAGTAGAGACCTTGAGGGCCAACACTCTTTCACTGCCCCAGGCTGTCTCCCCCAAATGTAGTCCTGTGTCCCCACTTCCTCAGTTTCCATTCTGTCCCTGGCAGCATCTCCTCTTGAGGGACCACAGCCTCCCCACCAGACAGCTCCACTGTGCTCTCCTGCCTTCCGGAGCTGCACCTTTTTCTCCGCCCCCCTCCCCGCCCTCCCCACCCCTGCCCCAGGAAAGTTCCTGTCCGTCCACTGCCTGGTCCGAGGAGCACAGTGGATGCTGAAGACTGAGCACTGTCTCTTCAGGGCCCTCCCCTTCACTAAGAATTGAAAGAATGTCAGGTTCCCGGCCATGGCCTGCACCTTAGAATTTTGACATTCCAGTAGCAGGGCCCCAGCTCCGAAGGTACTGACCAAATTGTCCTGAGGAGGCACCCCAGCATTATGGTGTGTGTGTGTGTGTGTGTGTGAGTGAGATCTCTTTTTTGTTCTTCAGGTGTGTGTTGTCATTTTAGGTTAGAAGTTCAGGTTGCAATTCAGGGTAGGTGTGTGGTGTTAGAAGCTCATTGAGTTGGGAATACGTCTGGCTGTGGATGCATCAGAACCACCAGGGATGGGGCGAGAGTGCCGGGTGAAAAAACAAAACAAGGTAGATTCCCTGGCCTATACTCTTTGAATCAGACTCTTAGGGGGTAGGGCTACGGGGGATTGTATCTTGATTCTGATATAGCCAAGGTCCGGGTGCTCTGAGGCCTCTTACTTGGGGCTCCAGAAGTGCTCATCTTCTGCTTGGGTTGGTGGGCTTGGCTCTGGGCCCCAGGGGTGCTTCCTGGCCTTGTGTACAGTGAGCAGTGCCCTATCCTGTTCCTGCCAAGAAAAAGTTTTCTCACAGAGAGGAGAGTGGGCCTCCGGTAACCTGCAGAGATGGCATCACAGTGGCTGCTGAACCGCAGGGTGGCTCAGCCCAGGCCTCTGCCCATAGCTGGGCCACACCGCATGGGCCCGCTAGGCCCAGACTGTGATCAGGATTCTCAGCAGAAGCAGAAGATCATCCTCCAGACTCTGAGGAAGGGCTGGGCACGTGAGCCTCATTTAGAGAGGGTTGTCTGACATGGCTCTTACTGGTGAAAGCTCTGGGTCTTCCCAAGCTCAGACCCCAGCTCCAGCAGCTGCTCAGGCTCTCCGCCTCATCTCTCTCGCTTGCGGGAAAGCAGTGGTGCCTACCTCACAGGGCTGCCATGAAAACACAGGTGAGGATCCTAGAACGATGCTGTGCCTGCAGCAAGGGCTCCCCAACACAAGCAGCCCTTTTGACCCAAACAGGTAGTAGCACAGCTGCCACTCTGTCCTCATGGGCCAGGGCTGGGACATGTCTGCCATGCTCCGCCATCCGGCTCCCCTGCCATCAGGTCCCAGTGCATCAGGGAGTCCCTAAGAATCAGGGCATAAAAGGGGCCTGGCACTGCTCATGGGCCCTGGCGCTTCACAGACTAGACTGGGTCCTTCAGGAAACCCAGTGAAGCTGGTTCCCTTGCTCCTTTTGTGACAATAAGGAAACTGCGTGAAGAGGTTCAGTAATTTAAAGACAGTCACACAGCCAGTAAGGAACAGCAGTGTCCCTGTTACAAAAGACCTTGCACTTTCTTTTCCACCAAGGTGCTTCCTAAAGAAAGGCAGTGACAGCTTCAAGGATGCCCCGCCCCCAGGAATGTCTGCATTTTCATAGGAATCCATAGAACCATAATGAATGGGTCCGCCTTCCTTGGCTTCCTGGGCTGACACCTCACGGTGCTCAGTTGAGCATATGTTTCCTTCTGCACGTTTCACAGTGAGCTGATCATGAGTCTCCCCCACCCCACCCCCGGCAGTCTCAGGGCAGAGTCCGGATTTATTCAGCCAGGGCTGCAGTGGGTACTTGAACTAGACTGGAAACAGAAACCTCTGAGGGATGCAAGCAGACATACAGGGAGTGCAGAGTGAGGAGGCCTCCCTAGACCTCCCTGGCATGTGCCCTCCCCCCCCCTTCCCTCCCAGACTCTCTTTTTATCCACGTGGGCTCTGCCAGTTGCGTGGAAGGCTCTGTAGAGGATGGGACCAGCTCAGAGGGAAATGAGCTGTCAGTTCCAGCAAGAAGTCTGGTCCCCACCCCTTCCCGTGCTCTTCCTAGGGGATAAAAGCATCTGTGATTAATGGGGTGCTGACTCAGTGCTTCTGGAGTGTCCCGGCGCTCATGCCCACTGCTGGCACCTCTCCCCAGCCATCAGGGAAGGGCTGGAATACATGGCATCGGAATGAGGCAGAAGGCTCGGGTCCAGGCTGGCGGGCGTGCCAGGCGGGAGCCTGCCGCATGCCAGCCTTTGGCGGCATCGCAGATGCCCCTGTGCTGGAGAGGCTCATTAACACCGTCCCAGACCTGGGAGCAGCTACGTGTGAGATGATCTGAGGGCAGGGAGATGTGGAGTCGGAGCCTCCCCTTCGGCAGGCTGGGCTGGGGCTCCTTTCAGAATACGTGTGATTTCCCAGTAAGTGACTAGAGGGCGAACCTTATTTGAAAATGGGTATGAAAGCATTTTCACAGCAGTAAAGCACTCTGCTGGTAGTTTGCAGACTTTTAGCATCTTAGAAGCCATTTTTAAAAGTCAAATCCCGTATGCAATGCCAATGATACAAAACAGGTTAAAGTGGTAGCTTATTAATACACATGCATTAATACACATTTATTTTTAAATAGAAATAATTTAATACCTCTTTATTATCAAAGCCCATCAATGGAATGATGACTCTGATGCATAAAGACTTTGAACTTCAGAGTCAGGATCAGAGGCGGGCACGCTACAACCCGGGGCCTCCGGCAGGCTGCTGCCTGGTGACTGGGGCACAGCCGTGCCATCCGTCCACACAGCATCTGCAGCCACTCTCCCACTCTGATGGCAGAGCTGGGGAGTTGGGACAGAGATTATCTGTCCCACAAACACAAAAATATTTACTATTTGGCTCTTTATAGAAGTTTGCTGGCCTGCGCTCTAGACGATCTTTGTATCCCTGTATCAGCTGTAACATCCAGTGTTGCTCTTTTGGTTTGTTTGTTTGTTTGTTTGTTTGTGTTGGCTGGGTTTGCAGTGTTAAGGAAGTTCTAAGTCGTATCAGGATGAGGCTGTGACTGGTGGTAGATTTCCAACAGCTTACCTGGCAGCCCAGGAGGGGTTCAATGTCATGTGGACATTCGGGAAGGAGAAGGGAATTCTGGTTTGCATCACTGACAGTTTCAAACAACTGCTTGAATTCCTTCTTGTTACAACACTCAGACAGGAAGTGCACAATCATTTATGGCATTTTTGTGATAATCATGTAATACGTTCCCATATCGCTGAAAGCTTTCAAGTGTACTTGTTTGTGGGGCTTATTAAGCACGTATAGCCCTGAATTCAAACAACAACAACAACATAAAGATGCCCAGGGAAGGGCTCCAATCTTCCTCATTGACTGCATAGTTCAACACTGAAGTTCAAGATCTACCCAGGCCTTACCCCAAGGCCCGAACCAAGTGAAGCTGGCCATGCCTGTTGGCTGTGCTCAGCGTGTTACAGCATGCGATAGACCATGCTGTAAGGGGCAGGTCTATTTTTCATAAAGGTTTTAATGGAGGTCAAACTATATTTTTGGAATAAAACTCTCATATGACACTGAAAGAGCCTCTGAAACACTTCCACAGCACACAATTTGAAAACTGCTCCTTCAACAAATATTGGCAGTTCTTATTTCTCTGCTGAAGGATCACAGAGGAGCCATAGATGCTGAGCACTGGGGGGAAGCAGTGAACGATGCTGCAGGAGAGAAGCAAGGGAACAGAAGGGGAGAGGGCTCAGTAGTGGAAAAAGTACTCAGGAAACACAGAGAAGCCTCCTTGTGACTTTCCGCCAAAGCTTAAGGTGTCTCCTAACTATTGTTGATGACTTCAACGCAGCTCTTGGGGGCTACTGTAATGAGCTCCAGCCATCAGCTTGTGAGAAGAGGTCCCAAAGAACATGGGGAGAGTTTAAAATGGGGGTGGGGGAGGAGTGAGCCCACAAATGGCTGCTGTTCAGGATGCAAAGGGCCTTTGAGGCCACTCGGCAGATGAAGGTGGGGGGAAGGCATGGGGGAGGAGAGGGATGGCAGAGGGGTCAGCTGGGTCAGCATGCCGAGCCAGAGCCAGCCGTGGGCAGGACGAAGGCACATGACCACGGGCGGAGCTTGTGAGTAACCTGTCCGGGCCCCACGCAGGTGGTGGCTGGGGTTGGGCAATGGCTTTGGGCATCATTAGAGGCAAAGGCCACAGAGCCAGGAATGAAACCCAGGGGTCTCTCTTCCCAGGCCTCCTGCCCTCCCTCTGGGGGTACCAGGAAGGGAGGGGCGGGCCTGCTGGCTTTGAGAGGGTGTGGGCTGCAGAAGGCCTCTTAGGGATGAAAAAAAAAAAAGCACCAGTTCTTTCTGAGGTTTTGCTGCTCACCCCATAGAAAAGGGACATTTTTAGATTTTAAAAGGATGACCTCATTTTTTTTCTTATTTACGTGGCCCTGTTTGTTTATATAGTCCTTTAAAAATAGCAAACGTGTGCTAAGCTTAGTGCTCTCACCCACCACCAGCAGCAGAGCCACTGTGTGGGGAGAAACACCTTTTTATCTAAGAGAGGGACAGCCTTGTTCCCGAGGACAGATGGGAGCAAAACGGGACAGGTAGGAAGTTTCGTGGTTTTTCATGTCGCTATTCTAAAATAGCCACCCTCTTGCCTCCCACTTCCTGCCTGACTCAACTCGGGGCAGATTTTCTCCTGTAGAGGACTGTGTTCTGTGAATTCTCAGGG